AAATAAAGCCAGGACTGAGGGAGATGTTAAGGAGAGGGGGCACTTTCCAACTCTACTTGAGGTGCCTCAGCAGGTGGGCAACTGAGCAAGTGCCTGGAAGCCTCCACTCTGTCAGGGGCTCGGGAAGTTAAAGCACCACCAGCGAGGCAAGCCCTGGAGTATTAGTGCTAATAGCCATCCCATCCAAATTAATTCAAATTGTGTTCAGCCGACCATGAAAGCGTTGTTGGTGGCAGCACTTCCCCATCCGCTCACATTTTCGAGAAGTAATTAAAGCCATTAGAATGTAAACCAGCTCTTTTGGCTTGGGAAGGAAAGAAAGCAGGAAGGGAAAAAGGAAACTGAATGACAGCTTAGCTAATTCAGCTAATATTCCCACTATTTCCGTATATACTGATTAGTTCCCATTCTCCAGCCATTTCCATACCCATGCAAAGGCTTGGGTCCTCTGCATAGGTTCCTACACCTCCATGCAGCAGCACACCCTGACCCCAGCTCAGCACCTCCACCATGGAGGATTTGGGCTTTCTTTCTGCCAGCCCTCACCCCTCAAGCATTCACATCCCAGGATGAAACTCAGTTTTCTCCCCCACCAGGAATATGAGGAAGGAGAAGAGATAGCAAACAGACTTTGTGCTCAAAGGAAAGAAACCCCACCATGAACCTCTAAACAAATTGACATAAGCAGTAGATTTGAGGCAAACACAGTGCTCTGGAAAGTTATTTCATGTCTGAAAAATCCTACACATGACATTCAGCTGCCACATGAATCATCTCAAGTGATGGAGCCACTTCTTCAGTGTCTTTATTTATTGGGCAAGCAAAGGGAAGCAGCACTGTGGATGGCAGATGGCCAGAGCTGGTACGTGGGGCTCAGTTCTCTGCCTGGTGCTGGCCTGCATGCCAGAGGGCAGGCAAAGTTCAGGGCCAGCAGGACCTGCAGTGAGGGTGGTCTTGTGGCAAGTCCAGGTTAGAGAGAAATGAGCTTGAAAGTAGAGAGGCAAGAGAAGGAGATGCCAAGCAAGGTGCAGAGGGTTGCAGGGGAGAGATAAAAATGGCAGTGCCAGGAGGAAGAAATCCTGCTGGACCCCAAGGCCAGATGTCAGCGGTATCTAAGCTGGTCTCCACCAGTGCCACTGGGGCTGGGCCAGTGCCCAGGGCCCTGTGATCCTCCCTGGAGAGTGGCTGGGAACTGCTGTCTCCATGTGCATCCTGCAGATGCTGCCTGCAGGGCTGGCTCTGCCTGGGGACTCTTCCTCACACTATCCTGGTTAGACAGAGGTGGAAAAGCAGCAGCTGGTTACAGCAGAAACTGTCCTGCTCATACAGCTTTTTCTTACCTTCCACCCACTTTGTCCCTGCTGAAGCAGCCCTGTGCCATGTGCCATGGCAGGTGTCTGGGGCTGCAGTGAGGACTGGGCAACACAAGCTGTCAGTGAAGCCTGAAAAGCAGGACTAGCCCCATGTGCTTCCTGTGTGGGCTGGAGCTATGCACAGAGTACTGTGATGGATGAAGAGGGCACAATACAGTCATTCAAATACCTGCAGAGAAGTTCTTTGTGGAGGTTCTCTGTGTGTCTCTGGCTCTTTAGTCCTTCCCTCATCAGCCTGCCTCTGCTCCGTGCAGGCCATGTGGGGGTGTGGGCATCCTGACATTTATTTTCCAGGCAGAGGAGTTCAAGAGCATCAGAGGGACATATTTTGTCTGTGAACAACAGCAGTAATCCCCTCTCTGGGAGGACCTTGTAGGAGACCAAGGGGCAAGTAATATTGGATGCCAAAGCTGTCTGGGGGCTCTTCTGAGCTCAGCCTGTGCTTTATTGCACCATCCCTCCCTTGGTGGACTTTTCTCAACACTTCAGAGCTAAAAGCCTGGCAGCATCATGCAGTCCACAGGACCCAGAATGGTTTAACTAGCTGGGCCTGTTGTGTCTCTCACATTGGCAGGCTGGAGCATTAGACTGGGAGTTCAACTTTCCCAAGGGATCAGTCTACCCGAAGGATGATTTTTCCACAGACAAGCTGGACTAGGAGGCTGGTGAGCACTGCTGCAACCAGCTCAGCCAGCTGATTTTGCATAGGACTGACCTAGGAGCACTCACATGGATTGTCCTGTGTGCTAGCCCTGAGACACAGCAATGGGGAGCTGTGGAGGACTACTGGAACTCAGTGCATGCAGGTCAGTGACAGGATCTGGACTGAGAAAGGTGTTCTTTATCTGTATACTTGGACAGCGAAGAAAAAATCCAGTCAGGAAGATAAGGAGCAGATTTACCCCAAGGATTACTGAGATAGTAGGTCCTGGTGCAAAACCAAAGGAGTTTGCCCAAGAAATACAATATTATTGATCCCAATGGGAGCAAGGAGTGCCTATAGTGCAACCTTCAAACTGAGGCTCCCACCAGGAGCTGCTCTTGCACACATGCCCCAGGGATCTTGGAGTAAGAAGCATGGGGAAACAGCAGGAGGAAGGATCTGCATTTAACTGGCAGATCTTTGTAGTGGGATTCCACTCCCAACTCTCCCAGTGCAATCCCACCACTGCTCTCACAAAGTGTGCCTCGAGGAGCACAGCACAATGCATCCATCACCCAGGCATCCATCCACCTGGCCCTCCTGGTGTGATATGGCGAGCAGCACTTTCAATCAGGCAACATTAAAATGAGAGAGATTCACTTTTTCATTGACATCAGCAAAAAAAAAAAAAAAAAAAAAAAAAAAAAAAAAAAAAAATAAAAAAAAAAGAAGAAGATGACACCAATTGAACCCAATGGGCTAAATAGCATCTTTCAGTCAGTTTTCTATGGGCTCCCAAAACTATGGGAGAAAATTGAAATCTGTCTCTTTCTGTCTCCTTTTCTTCCTTTTTTTGTAATAATTCCTGGTATGCAAGGCCTTGTGCCAGGGCTGGTATTGTGGGTGATGAATCTTGAGTCAGGCGGCGGGGAGGCTTCTGTCCTATCAGCCGGCTTGCCGTGGTTTGGGATAATGTGCCTGCGGCTTGTCAGGTGCTGATGGGGAGCAGGAGGGGTGGGGGGATGAATGCATTTTTGATTGCTATAATTGCTACAGATTGGATGCTTGAGAGGAGCTAATTAACAAGGAGGCTATGGGCGGATTATACTTGCAGAACAGAATCCCATGCAGATCCTTTCCCTTTGTGCCACATGTATGAGATCATTGGTAGGTGATTATGGCTGTGAATACGGTGCTAATTTACTTTGCACGTCTGACGAAAATCCTGTACATAATAAAACGCGGAGGCAACTTAAAGTAGCCCAGTTCAGAGGGGAAGGACAGCTTTGCTGCTAAAACTGAACCCAGAGCTAAGCTCCTGAGGTCTCCTACTTCCCCTGAGTAACTATGACAGCTGTTTCCCCTGCCTCAGTTTCCCTCTCTACCAAAGGGAGAAGGCAAGCTCATGACTGTGGATGTTTGGCAAGGCACTGTGCACCCTGTCAGGGAAGATGTAAAGGATAGAACAGAAATATCATCACACCACAGGAGCATATCAAACAGCACAGCAAAAATAGCAGCCAGAAAGCTGTGCACTTGGAAAAAATACACATCTTTGTGAGGACTCTTGTGCTCAGAAGAAAGGGGTGTAAGCAGGAGCTCCAGCTGTTTCTGCAGCCTCAGGATTAGAAAGAACTGATAGGCAGGAATAGCTCTGTCATCCTGGTCTTGCTTCTCCAACCTTGTTTTACCAGCAGATCTCCTATGTTCCCACAGACTTCCTGGGGCCCTGAGGAAGAAGGAGCAAAGGTTTCTCCTTAAACATAGCCCTCATGCAGCTGGAGATGTTTGGGCTGGGGTTTATCCCAGGCTCTGACTTCAGGGCAAGGCTACACTTGTTTTCCCCTCTAGTATCTGGGCACTCATAGCACCTGAAAATGAGGAATTATCCTGTAGATTCTGTGCCAACACAGCCAGAACATCACCAGCCAAGCAGGGAAAAGAGTTACTGGTGGGGGATGCTGAACACCCATCCATCCATCCATCCATCCATCCATCCATCCATCCATCCATCCATCCACCCATCCCTCTCTCCATCCCTGCAGGTTTTAAGAGTAGGTTGAACTACAATACCTATCTTTATTTGGAGAGCTGGTGAAGGGTTTGCCCAGAGTCCTTTCCCTGCTGTCTGTGCTGGTGGGACTTAGGCTGGCCAAGCCTGCTGGGCTTTGGTTTTCCATGCAGGAACACTTTGCTGGGAGTCAGGCAGCTTGATGAAGTACTGGTAGACGTTTTTAGAAAGTTGCAGTATTCCTCACAAATAAATCACATCTTTACAATCAAAAATGGAAGTGATATTTATAGTATTGGATAATTTTCCCTTGAAATATTTTCTGCATTTTTCAATGGAATTTTTGGTGGTGGGGGCATTAAAAGTCAGCATTTTCATAAGAAAAGAAACAAAACCATTTTCCAACTTTTTTTTCCTTTAAAGTCAGCAATTTGGATTCCAAATTATATATGGGGATTTAGACCTCTTCCTTGCACAGATCATTTTACCACAGTAATTTTTTATTAAGGTTACTGTTTCCATAATAATGGCTACCCGTTGATTCCAAAATGAAAATATCACTTGCAGATCTCCTAATAAGAATACGGTGTTTCATAATATTTCTTTAGTTTTATTTCATTTTTTGCTTATTTACTATGCTTGGGAAGATGACTCCTAGAAAACAAAACTCCACAGCCAGCCTTCTCCTACAGTCAAGAACTACTCACCTAAATTTTACATTTAAATTAATCAAGACCAAGAGAGAAAGCAATCTGTCTGCAGGTTTAAAAAGACTTTCAATGTTGGACTCATTTCATCAACAGGAAAGGGTTTTTTTCCAGACAAAAAGCCCAAGAGGTGTAAAAATGGATTTCCATTTCTGTCATGACTGAATTTGAGGAGAACAATCCATGAATGAGAAAGAATTGTTCTGCTGAGGGAAGAGGCTGCTGCCTATTAGCAATCTGGGCTGCTGTAGTCCAGGGAGATAAACTGGAGAGGAAACACTTCATTTATTGAGAGACAGGATTGACTGTCTGTGAATGCCTTTAGACAAGATAACAATTGAACCTTGCTTCTGTGCAGCTCCTCTGTTCCTACAGGGCACAGAACATCCACGGGCTCTCTCTCACTGCAGAAAGGAAGAGTAGCCTAAAACACAGAACAATACAGAGAAAGGAAGGGCAGCCAGGATAAAGCCCTGTTCCGAGAAAGAACTCCAGTTTCTTGCCAAATCAACCCTTTTGACACTCTGGCCCAGGTCCCAGTTTTACTCCTGGCCATTTTCTGACATTGTCTCAAACCCAGGTTTTGCTTTGGACCATTTCAAGCAATGTCCCTCATCATGCTGAAGTTTTTCTCTTTGAACAAACCCTCCATTCTTCTTCTCCTCCCCTTAGCAAAATATTTTCCACCCTTCCACGTCAAACTCTGGATATTTGCCTTTGGAAAGTTGGAGAGTAGAGCAGATGGAAGGAAGGGATCAAACTCAAAACCATGGAGTCACTTCCATGTGGTGGGAAGCTCAGCAGGACAGGGGTGATGGGTAAAAAGAAAGAGGACACTTAAGAGGATGGCATAAGGGTATTGGCCTTTTTTAATCACATTGAAACATTGGCATGATTTGCCCTAATTTCTATGCAAAATATGTATCTCTGGTGCTGAGGCGAGACAGGTTGTCACATATGTGGAACAAGCAAGGTAGAGATGCTGGCAGAGAACACTGCTGAAGGATCAACATTAGCATATTGGCATTTGGGCTGATGCCTTATCTTGGGCTGACTTCTGAATGAAAAGTAATTCCAGGTACTCTCCCTCTCCTGGTCTGTTACTTTATTATTGAGATTGACTTTTGTCCTGTTGAGCTCTGCCTTCCCCCACTGAGTGGCCAGAGAGGCCAAGTCTTGCCCTGGGGAGAGGAGGGGGCAGTGGTGGAGGCACAGCCTTGTCTCCTGACAGCACTGGTGGCTACTGAGGCACAGTGGTGGCTGATAAGAGACAGAAGGGGAGCAAAAGAAAGGCCCAGTGACGAATTTGGCACAGGCAGAAGTGCTATCCAGGCATGCAGGCTGGCAGTGCTGGAGTGCACAGCCCAGATAATAAAGCATTGTCCTGGTGCAGAGCCTGAGACTGCCTCCCCCATGATGTCGGGGTGCTGCTGTCCCCTCTGTCACTGCCCAGCATCCCCAGCCCCAGACATGGCTTCACGAGGTCCAACTGCTGCTCCAGCTCTGAGTCCCTCTCTCCAGCCCCCCATGATGTGTAGACAACATTCCTCCCTGCTGACAGCTCTCCCCGTGAGATTCTGCTTCTACAAAGGGCTCTTCTCCATCCCACCTTTAAATAAAGAAGAGTTCCATTAAATACTATAAAGTATTTATTGGCCAATGGGTAAAATGAGTGGGTTTCTTTATGGCTGCAATGATCATTAATGAAAGTTTAGGGTCCCTGTTGGGACCATGGAGCAGAATAAATGACCTCTTGCTAGTCATCATCTCCCTGGTTTCTAGGACTCTGCACCAGAAATGATCCAACTTCATTTAAGGAAAATCAAATTAAAAACAGATTAAAGTAAAAGCACCTCATGCCCCTGTTCTGATTTAACTGTGATGAAAAACAGACCATGGAGTAACTTTATAATGGGAGGAAGCTCATTTAAATATTCCCCTCCCAACAGAAAGAGATTTAAGAATTAAATGAATGAGGAGATTTTCCTTTTAATGAGATTAGCCTTTTATAATTGCTCATTATAGACCACTCCAGAGATTTGGAAGAAAAAAAAGTTATACAACATACCTGGAAAACACTGCATTAGAAACCAGCCAACCCTGCCCCTTCACCATCACTTCCAAAAAGTGAAATTCAAACTAGTTTCTACTTACAAGTCACTCATCTCAAGTGGCTCCAGCTCCTCCAGATCCTCTCTGCAATTACTGGCTTTGTAAAGAAAGTGAAACAGAGTTTTGAGATTAGCAAGCCTTAATACATTTGCTAAAAATTCTCCCCCTTTCCCATGGAAACACATTTATTTTTGACTGTCAGCTGTCTGGCAAAGCCATGTGATTTCATTTCATCTTTCCAAATTTCAGTCCTACCTAAAATAAAGGCTGGGCAGAAGCTGCCCCTTTTGGCTTGGAAATGCTGGCCTGATTCAGAGGCACTATGGGGAGGTTAGACCAGAATTTTTTGTCTGAACCTAAAGAATTTGACTCTGAATTCCCATCTTTGGGCTGTACAATAATACCAGAGTAAGGACACATACACATGTATAGTTTCATTCACGTCTGACTGTGATTTATGTTTAGTGTCAGGCTCTTCAGCTCTCAGCTGAAACGAATACTCAGGGCAGGATTTTCTGACAAAGTGGGACTGGGCAGCTGTTTGCTCCATTCCTGCTGACAGCACCAAGCAGTAAAGGAGATAAATGGCTCTCTTTGTTTCCTCCATGTGCTGGGTATTCACAGCAATCAAAGTCTTGCTGCTTCTTCTTATCTCTTCACCTGCAGCGGCTGCAATGGATGAGCATTTGGCCATGCTGGTACGCAGGGCTGCAGGATGGATTTGCACCTTTCCCACTGGGGCCCCAAGATGCCTTTCCCATCTGTTCCATTGGGGTGTGAAAAGCTACTAAATGCAGGAATATACTCCATTCCCTGCAATCTGGCTGCCTTGGAACTGGCCACGTCCTGCTCTCCCTGCAGTCAGAGGGGAGATGGGCACTTCCAGAGGATGTTTTGCTCGATTCCAGGAAGGGGTTTCAAGGCAGATGGGATGATGACGTGGCATACACCACCTTCTCCTGTCCTCTCTGCAGGGCCAGCTCAGAGCAGACTCTTCATTGTCAGCACCTATAGTCCAGATCCTGGACCAGGATCCACTTGGTTTTGAGAAGGCACAATTGAGTGCAACCACGCAGGCCCACTGGCTGTGACACTGGCAGCTCAGGCTGGGTGACCACAGCCATGCCCTGGAATGCTCACAGGGAATGGCCAAACCAGCTCAGCGAGGCCATCAGCCATTTGGCACTCAGCACTGGTCAATGTGGCTGCTTACCTGGCTGCCAGAGCTGCTCAGCCCTTTTCTGTCAAATCATTTGGCTCTCAAGGCAATATTTTATTCCAGTGTCCTTTTGTTATCAGAAGGCAAGTCCATTTCTAGAGCTGTCAGTATTCGTTTACTTTGATTTATATTTCCTTTCCATATTTGCCAAGCCAAACAGACACAGTTTTCCAAGCATCTGGCTGCATTACCTTGCAAATCTGTGCTGGTACCAGAACCAGGCAGAAAGGGAAAAGTGTCATTAATGAATCCAACCTCTCATTCCCATCCACCCACCATCAGATACCGTCTGCTCCCTCCCATCTCACCAGGGCTCTGGTGATAAGAGGAATTCAGCCTAACTTTGGCCTTTAATGCATACAAATAGGTTTTATGTTAATATTTGCAAATAGCTTCTCAGAGGAGCAAGATATTTCCCAAGCCTCCCATCTTCTGGAGTTCTTCAGGCAATGGAGTGGGACAGATGAAGCCATCAGCACAGCCCAGGGATGAAGTCAGAGACAGAATCACAGATATTCTGCTTAAATCTGCTTATATGATGGGGCATTTAGAAGCCCTGTGAGGTCCTGGCATTCCAGAGCACTCTGTGGGCAGCCTCCTGAGTGGACCTGGGCAACTTTATCCAGTGAATCAAGAGGGGTGTTTTTGTTGAAAACCAGACCTTCAGGAGGGACAGAAGTATTTGAGAATTCAGGTCAAATGCAGCAAAGACTCTTATTGGAGACAAAAGGATGGTGTTTTGAGACAGAATGTCAAAACATATTCTCTCTTTCTCCCCACATTACAAAGTGGGGTTTTTTTTCTTCAAAAATTGCCTTAATTTTCTGGAGTCATTAAACAAAAGACAAGAAAATCCATCTGCACAGGACAGAGTGAAGATGAGGGCTGACTGGAACCCACATTTTCCTGTCTTTGCTTTTACATGGGCAGCACGGAGGGCTCAGTGAGAAAGGCTGCTGTCATAAAGAAGAAAAATAACCCCTTTTAATCTCACCCAGATCATTCTGCACAGACAGACACTGACCTTCCCACACTGTTAGTGATACAGCTCCACACCTGGAGCAGGTAAGGATGGAGTAGCTGGGACAACATCCTGCCAAAGACCCTGTAGCTAAGGCTCCAGGGTGTCCATACAGGCTGAGTTTGGAGGCTCCAGATCACCCCTTTTTTCAGGCAAAGAGAAGAAATTGCCACGTTCATTGCTGGGTTGGCAGTGTCCTAGCCCCTGCCCTGCTCCCTTAGGTCACTGCCTGGAGACTGATAGCTGCTGCCCCAGCCCCACTGCATGGCAGAGGAGAGCCTTTCACACCTCCCATGCCATCACCCTGGCACCATCTACGCCTGCCAGAGATGTGGAAATTAAAATAATAAACAAAGCAAGCAACACTGCATGTAGAGGCTAATGTACCATAATGCTCTGAAACACGGGCAGCTGCTGCCTCATGCTGAGCACAGAGGATGTGTTTGAAAAATATATCTTCCTTCAACAGCAGTTATTTCAACATTAGCTTTCTCTTTTTTTACTTCAAATAAGACATTTACTTTCCCCTAGCTCATAATCTCCATATGGAGGAGAGCAGAGGGCAGTGGGGAAAGGCAGAGAAATTACACTTTTTAACACAGTGGGATTTAAATCATAGGAAAACAAATGGAATTTAACTGCCTGGCTGAAGTCACATTCGTGTTGTGGGTATTTATGGCAATCATCACTAACAACAGGAAGAGATTAGATATTGCTGAGAGCCTGAGTGCTGGCTGGGGAGCAGGGACTGGCTGTCAATGTGTGTGATCTCAAAAGCAAGGACAGAATGTGTGCCTGTACACACACATCCCTGCAAGTACCCATGTGTGCTTGGTCCCTGTATTCAGTGGCCATTCCAGAAAGGTCTTTGCTGGGCAACATCAATTTCACACTTTAATCTCAATTTCCACCTGAGATTTAATGAAGAAAGGGGAGTTCATTCTATTGGATCTGGCAGAGAGTGACTACAAGATTAACTCCAAATATAGATGTGGGTGTACGTTGAACGTCTCCACCAGCAGAGATGTGTACTCATTTTCCAGCTAAGAGTGAGTCCAAATAGGAACTGTAATGGATATGGAGAGCCTTCTGAGATTGGAAAGGTGATTTATCCCAGATCTGAGAGTGTGCTGTTTGTCTAGTTGATGCATGCAAACACTGCTTAGGATGCACAATGTGTTGTACAGTCAGAGAACACCACCTCTAGCAACTGCCCCAGGCGCGAGGTGAGCACACAGCATCCCTCACCTTGTCCCTGTCCCCATGCTTGGAATGGGTCAAGACCCAGATTACCCTTTTCCTGAAATGTAGGTTTGATCAGAGACACAGCAGCACCTCAATACTGACTGCTGATATTTTACTAACCTGAGCATGTCCCCCAGCCAGCTGAGCTGAACCCTAACGGGTCAGTTCCCCAGCAAAACCATCTCATCCTTACTCTAGGAAAATAAACCACAAACAGCCAGAACCACTGCATTGTTTCAAAGGATAAAATTCACTCAGAAATCCCCCTCTGCCAATTCCCAAGCAAACATGTCCATATTAATAAAGCAAAGTGCTTTCACCCAGAACAGCTCCGGCAGGGAAAAGCATTTTAATGGACTGACTGGGAGGGAAAATTGACTTGCAAGAAGAAGAGTCCTGGCTGGCTCCCCTGAGCCTGGGCAGGGGCACGGTTTAGAGACCTGTTTTAATCAAATTGCTTTTAAAAAGCAGAAAGGGAAAAGCTCTCTGACAAATTTGACCTTTGGGCACCTCAAAGATGAGGACACAAAATGTATTATACACTGGCTCAGAGGAAAGAAAATAGGGTGGGAATAGATGGAGTCTCATCTTGGGAGTGGAAAGTAAAGGAGGGAAGAGGACAGACAGATCATCTGCTGGCTGGTGGTGTTGGATTCAAACCCATCTCAAGGCTCTAGATAGGACCCATAAGTCATCCCCAGTGGGAGCAGCATCAGCATCCTCTTGGCCAGCTCCCTGCTGTGATCTTACTCTGCTCTTGGGTTTATTGGTGTTGGAGGCTCTGCAAGGAAAGACAACCATGAGAACTCACTGCACCTGGGGGGAACCAAACAAAACAATTAGCAAAAACATAATGGAAAATAAATTAAACTTACACCAAAGGAATGGGAAATCTCCATGGCCCACCTCTGCCCCCTGAACAGCACTTCACAAAGGAGAGGTTGGACACAGTGGCTGATTTAAAACTCTGGTGCAATGTGGATATTGAAATCCCAGAGGCACCAAGCACATCTGCCCAGATGGGAAAATCAGAAGTTACAACACTTGGGTGGTATGATAAGTCTTTTTTTTTTTTTTTTTTTTTTTTTTTTTTTTTTTGCACCCTGAAAAACAACTCAATTGTGGGAGGAATGTGTCACTTGTAATTTTGCAACTTAATGAAATAAATCAACCAGATGGAAAGACGAGATGAAGATGAGCCCACACAGTCTCGTGGGAACACAAAGGCCACATGAAGCCAGCTGCTGGGAAACCAAGAGCTTGCCTGGAAGACTTTGGAGCCCCCTTTGTGGTGATGGCAATGAATTTCCCAAGTGAGGAAGCATCTTTGAACTTTCTCCAGCCAGGGGGGCTGAGGTTTCAGGAACACTTGGTCACTGAGCCACAAGAAGGCAACTGCTTGCTCAGCTGAGAAGTGGTATCAGGGCACTGTAGAGAGAGTTCTGCTCCTCCTCACCTGCCAGGATGTCTCCTAAGGGGACCAAAACCTGAAACCCTAGGAGGCTGAAATTTGTAGGATGAGGAGGGAGCAGCAGAAGGAAGAACTAGAGCCATGCAGAAAGGTTGGGAGAAATGGCATGGCTAAACCCTGCAAGATGAGGAGACACTGCTGGCAC